GGCCGAGGAGTACTGCGTGCAGACCGGCGTCACCGGGGTCACCAAGTCCTGCCACCTGTGCGACGCCGCGCAGCCCCACCTGCGGCACGGCGCCGCCTTCCTCACCGACTACAACCAGGCCGACACCACTTGGTGGCAGAGCCAGACCATGCTGGCCGGGGTGCAGTACCCCAGCGCCATCAACCTCACCCTGCACCTGGGTAAGTCCCGGCGCCGCTCCCCCTCGGGAGCCCCAGGGACTGCTGCCTGCCCGCCCCTCCACGCCCTTCGCTTCTCTGCGGGGCGCCCCGTCCTCCAGCCCCCCCTTGGCACCGTGTGTGCGGGTCCCGGCCGGGGGGGCAGCGGTGCAGGCTGCAGAGGTGGGGCGGGGAGTGCTCGGAGCGGGCTCCTTTCAGCCTGAGCTTGTGAATGCTTCTTCCTCGTGCGCCTGGCACGTCAGCGAGCCGCGCTGCGAAACCCGACGAGAATGGGAACTCTGTGGATGCTCTCCTGCTCGGCCCCGTCCGCCCGCATTGCACCGGGGTCCCTGTCCGGGGTGATCACTCCCCGTTCACTAGCAAAGACCCACCTCTAGGCACTGTTATTTTTGTGCCTCTCACGCACAACCATCCTGTACCTAGTGCCTTTCAACAGAGAATCCTTACTTTCCTTTTTTGTGCCTGCACGACCAGAGGCTTCACAATTTCTCCTCCCTTTTCCCAAAATATCCTCCACTGGTAGAGTCTCTCCTGCCTACATGCACCATCTCTACACATAATTCCTAAAATAAGAAATCTAGCCCTTCCCTTCTGGTTGGCTCTACTGATCTAAGAGCTGTTCCTCCCTGTTTCCTGTACTAGAGTTGCATGATTTCTCCTCTTCCCAAACAAGGACTTTGCTTCCTCTTCACCACCAGCCTATCTAAACTAATGGACCCGCCCCAGTCTGTCAGAAACTTTGTCCTCATCCTTTCCTTTTTGTCTTCTAATAAGGACCCCATCTGAATTTTCCTTGAGATAATGTGATGAGGGCCAATTGCCCCTTAACTTTTGTGTTGAAACTTGGAGATCTCCATGGCAACTTATGCCCATTCCCATCCACTGAACAGATTAGTCATAGTAAAGAAAGGAAAAAAATTAAACCTAACCAAGACTGCCAAAAAACGTTTTGTGGTCGTGAGGGAAGGAAAAGAGTGTTGGATTGGACCATGCATAATATTGCACTGTGTGAGTGTGCTTGTGTGAAAGATTTTTCTATCACAGGGTAACTTGTTGCTTTGTGGTATTCAAATTTAATTAAAGGCCACAAAGCTTAATCCCATCAGACAGAAAACAAAGGTAAATGTGTCTGCCCCAGCTGGTAATAAATTACTGAAAGTGACTTCTGCTGTATACAAAGCAGGCTATCATCTTTGGATTCTCCCTTTCTTTGGTTTGTCAGACAGTATGCTTACTTTCAGAGGTGTAGCTTCTTACTTTCAAGGGTAATATGCTTACTTTCAAGTGGGAAGTATGTGGCACCTTAAAGATTTACAAATATATTCAGGCATAAGTTTTCATGGGCTGGAACCTGCTTCCTCAAATGTTCATTGGTTTTGATTGTGTTTACTAATTTTGTTTTTTAATTTAATGTAATCGTCTTATCAGAGGTTCTGATTCAGTGAGAGAAATACTTTTCATGCTTCTGGCTTGCATTTTTAAAACAAAACTATATGAAGTTTGGTAGTGTATTCATTTAAATTTGGTATTTATGTGAATCAACATAAACGAAAACTGTAGGGAAGTGCTTAAAGATCTACAAAGATAAATGCTTCCTAATTAATCTGTAGGTTTGGATCTCATTATGCTTGAAAAAAACCCTTAAATCTTTATGCACAAAGTAGTTTAAGCTTGTAGGCATCAGATATGGAATTCATAATGGGAAGGTTTGTCTAGAAAAATAAAGGCAAGTGGAATGAATACTTCCTGCAGTAAACATTTTAGATTTTTCTCTGTGCTCATGTGCTCACTATTCTGTTGCTCTAAAAGGGTGGGTTGCTGCTAAGGATTCTGGGGTAGATTAAACAATTCCATTTTTTGGTCATGTCAAACAAACTTATTTATGGTGACAGTGCTGTCTGTTACTCTAGGAGATTTAGCACCATAAAATTAAAAAAACCCTACTTTTTGGTATGTGAAAAAGCAACAGGATGTAGTAGTTTATTTAAAGAGTGAGATTCACTAATATGTGAGGTGACTTCTGCTTCTGTAGTTGCTTAAGTAGTCGTGATCTGAAAAGGTCTTAGTGGCTGAGTCCTACCTGATACCAAGTGTACTGAGGATGATATACAAATATTTTACTGAGATGATGTTTCTTGTCAGCTAAAAGAGGAGACAGAAATTAAGTCTAAGCATTCAGCAACAGGGTGTCATAATCAATTGAGATAGAAATGTAGCCGTGTTAGTCTGGTGTAGCTGAAACAAAATACAGGACTATGTAGCACTTTAAAGACTAACAAGATGGTTTATTAGATGATGAGCTTTCGTGGGCCAGACCGACTTCCTCAGATCAAATAGTGGAAGAAAATAGTCACAGCCATATATACCAAAGGATACAATTGAAAAAAATGAACACACATGAAAAGGACAAATCACATTTCAGAACAGAAGGGGGATGCGGGGGGAGGGGGAGGGAAGGAAGGAAGGAAGGTGAATGCCTGTGAGCTTCCCACCTTTAATAGGGAAGCACAGGCATTCACCTTCCTTCCTTCCTTCCCTCCCCCTCCCCCCGCATCCCCCTTCTGTTCTGAAATGTGATTTGTCCTTTTCATGTGTGTGCATTTTTTTTCAATTGTATCCTTTGGTATATATGGCTGTGACTATTTTCTTCCACTATTTGATCTGAGGAAGTGGGTCTGGCCCACGAAAGCTCATCATCTAATAAACCATCTTGTTAGTCTTTAAAGTGCTACATAGTCCTATAATCAATTGAGTATTCTTAAAAAAAAATCTGTGGAATAAAACTTGTTAAGCTTAGTTGCTACCTAGAAGTACTCTGTTAAAATTTCATCCAGATAGCTTAAACGAGTGAACCAATCTCAGTGTGGCAGAAAGGAAAGTGTTTTTTTTAAATGGCTCAGATGCTGTTTGTTGCTTGAGTAACTAAAAGGGAAGAACAAACTTTTCTCACAGTCATTTCATGATTTAGCATTTTTGTGCAATTTCAAAATGAAAGGACCAAGTTAACCTTTTTAAAAAATTCTTCTATCCCAAAATTAATAAATACTTTGTTTTAAAAAAGTCATATATTCATGGGTATGCAGATAAAATTCACTGTAGTGTGTCCTGTACTAATGGGCACCTGGGAAAGGCATTGACCTGTTGCAGTGGCCACTAAAATTTCAGTATCTTCAAAGAGTTCCTTTGTTAATTGCACTTTTATGCAGGCACCTACTGCAAAGACCAAAAAAGCAGTCTCTTAGGGTGTGTCTACTCTAGACTACAGGGTTTTGTTGACAAAAGTGGACTTTTGTCGACAAAACTATACCTGTGTCCACCCTGCCTTTGACTTATGTCGACATAATGTCGACAAAACTGCTGAGTTTTGTCGACGTATGTAAACCTCATTCTACGAGGAATAATGCCTTTTGTCGACAGAGTTCTGTCAATAGAAGGCATTACTGCATTTACACTGTCCTTTGCGTCCACAGAACTGGTTGCGGCTTGCTTTGTCGACAGAACTGGTTGTAGTCTAGATGCTCTTTGTCGACAGAAGCTTTGTTGACAGTAAGTGTCGACAAAACTTCTGTCGACAAAACCCTGTAGTCTAGACATACCCTTAGTGTTACGGTTAGAAATTGGTTTTATTGTATAGGATGGCTCCATTCAAGTAAATTTAATACAAAAAAGGAATATCTTCAGAGATTATTAAGATTTCATATACTCATTTTTTTATTTTTATATATATTTTAGAGTTTTTTATTCAGTACATTTGTTGCAGAAAGAAAGAAACCCTTTTCTTACAACAGTTAACATTGTTTTCTAAACTTTTCTGTTTTGGACAAATGTATTATCAGTGAGCCCTTGTATTAAGTCAGAATTGGATTTTATATGCATTTCATACTGCTCATTATCATTGTCATGTGAATATCTTCATGCACTGGCTGCATACAGTGTTTTTGTATCTGTGTTGGGGACAAGGTGGGTTAGGTGATATCTTTTTTTAAAGACCAACTTATTTTTGTGAGCGGCAAGCTTGGAGATTACACAGAGCTTTCCATTCAGGTTGTATAAATCTTTCAGGTCTAGGAAACATACTCAGAATGTCCCCCTAAATAGAAGGTGTAACTGATTGTTTGGCATGAATAGCTTAACAAGTGTTGTAAAGGACCATTTAGGGTGAAGTGTCTAAATACAGATGTTCTAATAAAAAACACTTACATGTGCCCACATGTGCATTTCAAAAGGAATTATTTTGGGGAAGCTGTATGACCATAGTCTGACTTCCTGTATAACACTGATCTCAGTGGTCTGTATTGGTCTTGGAATCTATGAATATACTTTCCAACCAAGACTTTTAAAAAAGTGCATTCTTCATAAAAACAGTTTCTTTAAATATTGCAGAATTGTTATTGTTGAGATGGAACATTAAAGTTTCTGTTTGCAGGTCTTTGGGGTTTTTAAATGTTCAATTCTCTTGTTTTTAGGTTGGAATTGAACTTAAATTATTTGGCTGAGTTTAAGATACTTGGAATGTGCTTTTTTTTTTCTTTGTCAGTTTTTTTCCTGAGGCGTTTCTTCATACTCTGAAAACGTTAAGAGCGGTAACCCTGCTGTAGACCGAATCTTCATTGTATACTGATATGTTGACATTGTGGTAGCAATCGTCTTTAGAAACAGCTGCTTTGTGTCAAACAATGTATCTCTGGCTCATTGTACTGGGTAAGACTGCTTTTAGCCTAACATGCTCTGGATTCATCTCTGCACCTTCACAAGTCATTCTCACATGAATTCCACACACTGTCTTTGCAAGAAGGAGTGGTTGCATGTTCCATTAAGATTTCATATGCTGGGATGTTAAAAGGCAGATAATTGGCTAACCATGTAACTGCTGAAAATTACACGGTTACAAGCACCTGCAGCACAGGGCAGCAGCCCATATCCCTGGAGTTCCCCACATGTACCAGCTACCATCTGCCACCCCGTGCTGCTGCCTCTATATCAGAGGCAGCAGAGTGGGATGC